GAACAGTTCTTGTTAATTTGATAAAACATTTTAAATTTCCAGTGCACTCACATCAGAAGAACTTATAGATTTGTTGTTAGAATAATCGATTAATCTAAAAAAATAATCAGATTAATCCATTAGAAAATAATCGTTTGGTACAGCACTAAAACCAGTCGAACCGGCTTGCTGTGAACACGAGGAAGAAAGGCCTCCGGCTGAGGCAAGTCTGATACGACCTGAACCCATCCAGGAACACAACCCTGAATAATTTAAAGGTACAGACTGATCCTGGAACAGCGTGTCGACGAGATACTTTGAGAGCTTGACTGTTTGTTGTTTGAAACAGGAAAAATTATATTAACTGCATCGATCGGATAGTGTTGAAGTTCAACGTTAAAAACTCGCTTTATGATGACTTTTTTATTCTGAGATGATTGTGGAACCTGTTGAGAGCAAAACAAATAGTAGTTGTAATCTTTTTATAATGGCTTTAGACATACAGTATTTCGACAGGATTAGTTTTACCTAGGGACCCCATGCTATTTGTTATAATTGCATAGATTTGTCTGTTTTTAATCACATGCGAATCGGCCAAATCAGTAATTTGTAAAGTAAAAATTCCTCTGCAAATTACATACTATATTTTGCTGAACTCAGAGGTCCTGTGATAATACAAATTCAATGCAAATAGGCCTCTTTGTGGTTTGGACAGGAATGGGCTGAATTCGATATTCAACACGTCAACTAACCAGGCTTCAATATCACATCTGGGAGATGTCCATAAATCTCAGGCTTCGGTTATCCCGTGCGAATGCGCCACATGCAAAACAGATGTCGGGGAGTAATTTATTTATTACATGGGGTCCCCAGATAATGCTTATCTGTGTGAATGGGGCTTTTGATTGCAAGTTAAGTCCGCAGCTGTCAGAGCAGCAGAGATGTGAGGCGTTCAGGGAGCAGCTTTGTGTCGCAGAGAAATTCTTCCTCCTCCTCTAGAGTTCACAATGGTGGGAAAACCAAAAGTGTTTCAGCAGGACACCAGTCTGACTCAAATCAATAAAAAAGGCTTGAATGCTTTAATTGACTTGCTTTTCCACCATGRTGTGGAGTCTATAAGAAAGATTGCTATTATTATTTATGTTTGATATAGTTTTTTAATACTTTAAATGATCTACGGTAAGGCATAGAATTTCTACTTTTCACACAGTTTTTGTTGTAAAATGTCTAATTCTGCTGTAAAAAGGAAGAGAAATAAAGCTTTGTAGTAAACCCAGTGTATGTTTATGTATTTATTTCATGTATATATTTTTCCTACAAGCCCAAAACRCTGGCCATTGTTCCAGGAAGTCCTGGGTGATAAATATCGTAATAAAAGTGACTGGGTTTAATTGGCTAAAAACAACMCACAGTCTTCTGGTACATTCCAGGTTTATTGACTGCATTACTGTGTCAGGTGGGGCAGGTGTTCTTACGTATCTCTTGTGCACATCTTCATCCTCTGATTTTGGAGTCTAGGATCTGTTGAGTGCAACWATTAATTTTGTTCTTGTTTGCACTCCTGCTTAATGTTTCACATCTTTTTTAAAATTTAATTATCTTTTTCATATTTAGTTCACAATAGGGTTGGGCATAATTGTATCGTGAGCAATTAATCGTCAGAAAAACATTAATCGATTATTTTTTGGCACTGGACGATTAATACAATTAATGCCACCAGGCAGACAGACTGGAGATTTCCCGTCGGTCTGCTTGATGCTCCTCTCCGCTTCAAATATTACGAACATTTGAAAAAAAAGTTCTGTAATTTATATTTATCATAACCTTGGTTTTACTTGGATTATCAACACTATTTAAAATTTGATGTATAGCCYGAAGTCTGTACTTTTGACACAATTTGGAACAGATTTTTACAAAGAGCAAATCTTTCCCACTAAATCGATCATGTGACTAGGTCATAAGGGTGTCCAGGGACTCCAGGGGATTAATCGTCAAATTAATCGTTATCAGCTAAATATCATAATTAATCGTGATTAGTTTTTTGCCAATATTTCCCAACCCTAGTTCACAATAACTGAAAATCATCAAAGGCAGAGCGTTGATGGATCTTCACCTCTGACTGGCTCTAACCCTCTCGACAGACTTGTTTCAAAATGTCTTGTAGTGATTCATGGTGCTGAAATAAATAAAACTCAAACAGAAATGTAAAAAGRTGAGATGTTGGTAAAACAAKAGCWATTTTGGTCAAATCTTGAATATTGTTTATAGTGGATATCTTGCACGGTCTGTTAAACCTCAGAGTGTTGTTGGAAATAACTAAACTACAACTGTACCAAATGTTAACACCGTATTTAAAGTTGATTTAAATCATAGAGAAGGGTGTAACTTTGGGTCTAYCGTTGGGGAGGATATGCTGTCTATTTTTTTATTGAATTGTTTACTTTAATAAACAACTCAGGATACTTTGGGGTTAAAATACTTTGCAATGCTTTTACTGTGATTTGCTTAACTTTCCTGTTTTCTTTGTGTTTACTCTGCACCTTTTCTGTTCACATCAGTTCAACAATAAAAAAAATCTTATTTTTTCCAACAGTAGCAAATATTTTACATTTTTAGGATGCATTATATGACATATGTAAATTTCCTAATTTTTCAAGAATAAGTATTTCCCTGGTACACTGTAATTTGGCTAGTAAAAATTACAACACGATTCAACAAGTACAGGCATAATGTGAGCAGACTAAAATCATGCATGTCATTTTTAGCAATTATGCTTAAACATAAATATGACATTGTRAATTTTGAAATCAAGCCTAAGTTACCAAAAGACAAGAGAAATGCAGCTGTGGACTTAAYCTGTTAATTTCTATTGTGTTGGAGCAAATTAGGTAATTTTTTATCAGGTGGGGATTATTGACTGGATCAAATTATTGTGGTGGTCTTAACCCGCGGAAAAAAAACAGAATTATCTAATATTTTTTGTCTTCAAGTGATAATATTTAAAGATTCAAGTTACAACTTAATTACATTAGAGAAAGAAGGGAAAATAAATTTTCAGTGACATCAATTATCTATATTCAAAACTTTTCCCAGCTAGTAAAGTAATGTATTATTGGCGTATAAACAAGTTAAAGCAAAACCAAAACAAAGAGTTTTTATGGAATTTAAATCGCACATTGTGCTTTTTGTGTTATTTTATAAGAAGTTGAGTTGGTATTTTGTGTGTGACCGATGCTCCGTAAACCCAGAATGTTTTTCTATTTTTCCTACCAGCTCAAATCTTAGCATATTGTTYCAGGAAGTTGTAAACGTAGCCTGACAAGTAAACCACTGGGCCGCCACTGCTTCTTCTGTTTTTAAAGGCTAACAGCTGGATGTGATACAGTCTGTACACACCCTGAGAACAAAACACAAACTTAAGTTTTCAAAATATAATTATCACAAGTCTTAGTTCTGTTTGTGTAACACTTTGTTAATTTTGTTTTTTGTTTTTTTTATTTTGGACTCAGCTTGGGCCCAGGCTGTGGCAGCGCTGATGGTCATCGGCCTCATCATCCTCATCTTCGCCTTCATCGTCTCAGTCATATCCATGTGTAACATCAATGTTGGTCTCTTTCGTGGCATAGCAGTTATGCTGATTATTGTTGGTAAGCCTCAGACACACTCTGGACACAAACATCTTTTATTTTTTTAACAATCCCCACATAATAAAATGAATTTACAGTGTTTTCAGTTGAAGCAGATAGTTTGAACCTGAGCTGCAGATGCTCTGTGTGTAGTTTGAAGCTGTTCTTGACCTGTAGACTTTATTTGCACAAGTTCTTTACCCGAGTTTTTTCTAATCTTTCTTTTTCTTCTGGTTCAGGGTAACATGATTCTACAGCTTATTCAGCATATCTTTTGTGTTAAAATGCTCTTGTTCGGCAGTAGGGCTGTGTATTGGCAAGAATTTGGTGATACGATACATATCATGACAGACGGGTCACGATACGATATATCCCGATACATTGCGATACTGTAAGCAAGATGATATATTGCGATTTTTTTTTTTGGCTATGTCGCGATACATGATTATATATCACGATACCTCCTAAATCGATGAAAAAAAAAAGAATAAAAATTGATCAAAAATGATTTGAATACGAATCTGAACAAATTGAAATGTTCTATTTTAACCATCAGTTTCTCACATAAGTTTTTTACAAATGGAATTATTGCCACTGTCTTTTTGTTGTCTACACTCTAGATCTTTAATAAACTTTAAAAATAAATGGACCATAGCAGCAAAAATGTACGTCAAGCAAAAGGGAAAAATAAACCATTAAAACTTAAAAAGGTGCTCTTGTGCTTTTAACATAAAAAATGCAAAATCAAAAATGCAATGGCTTTAAAATACAAAAATAAAAGTATAAACAGTGATGATAAAATGGACTGATCCAGAACGAGATGTTTTGCAAATTACCGCGTTTTGCTCAACGTCCTCTTAATGGAATCCAAACCACTGCCAGATTATTAATCCAGTGTTGTTTCTCTTCTGAACTAATTTATGAGTTGTCTTCNATGCTAATGCTACCCTTACTCTCTGGTGCTCAAGAGGTAGAGGAGCCAAATGGCTGGCTCACTGCTGCCAACTAGTGGTCAGAGGCTGAACCACAACATAAAAATGAACGGCTGGCAGGAAAGTTGACATTTTAAACCTTAATTAAATATCGATACAGGACTTTAGAATATCGATACAGTRTCGGGAAATGAAATATCGCGATATTTCAGTGTATCGATATTTTCTTACAACCCTATTCGGCAGTAATTGTGAAGCTTTTACAGAACGAGTTAAGAAGTTTTAAAGGTGAAAACTAGCCTGTTGTTGGAAACAAAGCTAATAATAAAATGAAAGAGTTCCGCAGAAAAACAAAGCATGATGATCAGGATGTGACAATAAAAGAGTACCAGAGAAGAGGTGTGGAGTAAATATCCAGCACGGTGTGACGCTGCTGTAGCAACGGCTGGTTCAGTCTGTTCATGTGACCGCAGAGAGCGTGAGAACAGACACATACTTATACAGCTTATCAAAGTGAAGCGGGCGGGGCTCCCAGGTGGCTCTAAATGAGTCAGAACTTTTGATTCAGTTTGAAAAGGCTGAGCCAAAAAAAGAGCTGATAAGGCAAAATTAAATCAGCAACATGTTTCTGATTCACTTAAAAGATCTGAGAGCTTCAAAAGAATGTTATGTCTTATATTATTCATTATAATTAAATTAATTATAATATTATGTCTTATCATCAGGGTGTCTAAAGAATGATGTGTAATCCCAGGACTGGACGCTGTCAGCAAATGAATCTCACAGATTTTAAAACGTTTGTGCGACTCTGACACTATCTTGGGAAGATATTTTCCACACCCCACCGCTACAGCTTCAGTAACTCTCAGCATGACTCACAACAAAGTCATTTATCTTTGTTTTTATTGTGTCGTTCTTGCTGTTTGTGCTGCAGCCATGTTGTCATGGCATGGTCTCGATTATGTTTTTCAGGTCTCAGTCATTAGGTAATTTAAGAAAATAAATACATTTAAGAAAAGTTATAAAATGTGGGACACGGTGGCTTTGATTCGTGAAAGTTTCAAGTGCATAAAAGTGTTAAACCTCAGGGCTGAAATGGTAACSAAACCATCCATTTAAAAAAAAATCAACAACAAACCTTGTCTGATCAGTGATGTTTTTACCATTTCATGTTGAAAACAACCATCTGTTAGACAAATAGTAGCTTTTAAAGGGGACATGTCATGCAAAGTCAACTTTTTGTTTTAGCTGTTAAAGGGGCAATATCATGCAAAATTAACTTTTTTGAGTTTTATATCATGTTATAATGTTATACTCTTATAAAAAAAAACATGCCCAAAGCCTTGCTTTGACTCATTCATGCATGTTTGAGAAATCCTGCAGCGTTTTTATGCAGCCATGCTGAGGAGCAAAACGACAGGTGGGGACCAGAAACACCTTTTGGTACCAGAAACGCCTCTGGGATGTGTTTAAGTCGAACTTCCTCATGGCAGAGTGCACCCCATCCCCACCTCCCCACACACCCTGCCCATGACTCCTGCAGGCTCTCGGCAGTAACAGAGC